CTCTGCACTTTGCACCCCTTATTATTATGACCCCTGCTTTGCAGATGAGCAAACCAGTTCTCAGAGATGTCGAGCGACATGCTCCAAATCACGCAGCAGATATGGGGTGTCAGGGGAGGGCAAAGGGGTGAGTGGAAGCCCAAGGTCGCCGCTGACCGACAAGTTTGTAAAGTGTTTTACAACTTTCCTAGGGACACTCAGGGTGGGGGGGCGGTTCTGGTTGACATTTTAACATCTTATGCTGAAAAATAGGAATTTCAGACAACGTTCTGCGTCTTAATTTTTTCAGATAAGTTTTGGGTGTATAGGCAAGTATCTTACGGCCGGCTGGCTGGTATTCAGCAGCATATGCACGGAAATGGCCTCTTTATAGAAAGGATAAATACGGCAGTTGAGTGACTGAAGAAGTGTTTCACGCAATATTTGGAGCTCATATTTGGCCTGCATTTTAAAAATCATAATTATGAATAACAATATATACTGGCTACAATTTATTGAGCACCTGCTCATTGTGGCCAGGTCTATTATGTCATCAATTCAAGTTGCACACACCTGCTTGCTGGCCCCTCTATCCCGTCACACTGGCCTGTTTGGCTGAGGACCACATCAGACTCTTTCTGACCTCAGGGCCATTGCATGGGCTATTCTGTCTGCCTGGAATGCTCGCCTCTGGGCTTTGGATATGGAGGCTTCTTCCCATCCCCCAGGACTCCGGGAGCCCATCCCTAACCATCCAGTCGGCACCTGGGGAGGCTCTCGCAGAGCGTTGGCTTTTTCTTCCCAGCACCCACCAGAATCCTGGAATTATCTTATTCTCATATTTCCTTATTTGTTTTCTTTCTTTCCCACTTAGGGTTGTCAGATAAAATATAGGATGCCCAGCTAAATAGGAATTTCAGATAAACAGCAAATATTGATACTTGCATTAAAAAAATGTTGTTTATCTGAAATTCACACTTAACTGGGCATCCTATATACTTATTTGCTCAATGTGGCAACCCTACTCCCACCAGCCCAAAGGCTACACAAAGAAAGAGACTATAGGGTCCAGCAACGAATTCCCAGGGCCTGGCTCACAGTGGGCACTCAGGAATTATTTACTGAACGCACCTAGGGAGTGTCTGCATGGAGATTTCAACACTGCAGCCGGGCCCTTCCAGATAGTGCACAGAACAGCACCATCCCTGGCCGGACCATGGCACCCACCCCTCTGCACAGGGGATCAGCACCCCGGGCCATTCCCAATCCCCGTTGTCAAGAGGCCAGGATCCAGAGCAGATCGGCACAGGTTCAAGTAAGCTGTCTCTGACACCCTTAAAACTGGGTAGAAAACAGGAGAAACAAACAAGGGGGAAATGAATCTTGGGAGGTGAAACTAGACCATGGGTGTGTGTTGGGTGATTTGGGGGCAGAAGAGACTGTGTGTGAGAGAGGGGTTTGTGCAGGCAGGGAGGTGACAAGAGGCAGCGGGCATGACCTCAGAGGAACCGAACATCCATTAGAGGGGCTCGTCGCCACGGAGACCAGACAGCTGGGCGATCGGGCCCGCGGAGGCAGAAATAAAGGGGCTGTAGGGACGGATGTTCAAGGAGAGCCACAAAGCTAAGTACATGTAAGGCTGCCGCATGAAGACTCGGGGCGCAGATGAGCGCCCAGACAGCCACAGGAAATGTACCGTGAAGGAAGGAGAAGAAGTACATGCCAGGAGACCAGTAGCTGTGATCTAGAGGATGGGGGAGTTAAGAAAGCTTCGAGATCCACGTCACGGGGCATCTGAGCTGGATCTTCAGGAGGTGGCCTCTCCCGAGACACACAACAATCTCCAGGAACGGGTGCTGGGCACACCCCCCCACCCCGGGCACCGCTCTGCCCGGGCTCCCGCAGTCCCTCCCGGCTGGCTCTTCCTCACCTCAGGGCTCCCTCTGTCCCCTGTCCCCACTCTTCCCATGGTGGCTTGACTAGGTCACCTTCTCAGAGAAAACCCTCTCTGATTCACCAACATGGGAACCTCCCATTATTTTCTGTTGTGTTGACTGAGATTTTTTTCCTTTATTATAATACATATTCCCACGTGTAACTTATTTTCATTTGTCTTCTTGGTCATTGTCTGTCTCCCCTACTTCACTGAGGAGCCCTGAGGGCAGCGTCCAAGTTGATTTGTTTGCGCTGTATACCCAGCTCCTGGTGCACAGTAGACATCTATCTATCTAATCTATCTATCATCTATCTACCTACCTACCTACCTATCATCCATGAATCATACTCTAGGCATATCTATATAATATGTAATACCTATAAGATACACACTATAAATGTCTAAATAATAAACAGCTGACTCCTTCTTTGGACTCCCAGATCACTTTGCCTGAAGTCTCTAATCATATTTTGTCATGATTATAATGATTTGACTAATTGCCCTATTTCTTATTGAATTCGCTCCTGCTCGACCAGGAGCTGACCTGCCACTCTGCGTGTCCACTGTCAGGGGGCTGGCCCTGCCAGATGTCTAGTCCCGCCCTGGTAACCTGACCTCACCACCGGGCCCCTGGTGCTTCCCAGGTCCTGGTTGGCAGGCAACAGGAGGAGAGGGTGACTAGTTACCACGCTCCTGCCGTTCTGAGCCCTGAGCGAAGAACCTCACAAACATCACCTCATTTAATCGAAGACCTCTATGAGAGTTCCCATTCACAGTTGAGAATCCTGGAGGTGAAAGTTTCATTTGCTCGAGGTTTTTCTGACTCCAAAGCACCCACCCCCTCCCATTTATCCACATGTGAAATTGGGAAAACTGGGTTTTCTTAAATGTGAAGAATTATTAAAAAGAACCATCCCAGGAGCCCCGGGAGCTGACAATTCTGAACCTTGATAATCATGTGTTTGTAAAATGAGCCATCATTCTGGAATAGCTCCACCCTCCACAACCTTGTTCCTGGCCCTTGCCCGGAGCCCCGGGCTCTCCCTGCTTCCCCAGCCTGAGTCTGCGGCTCTCCAGAAGGATCTACTTCCTCCCACACTTTGCAATTTAGGGAACCGCCTCTTGGCATGTGGAAGGGGGATTTGACCCTGACCCTGAGCCTGACATGAAGCATCTGACTTGGGGCCCTGTGTTAAGGACGCTCATCTGGGGATCGAGGCGGCCAGGGCCGGGTGGCAGCCTGGCTGGTCGTCGGCAGGCCCACGCTTGGGAGCCCTGATGCCCGTACTTACCGAGGAGCGCGGGCCCCACATCTTGAGCCCTCATCCGTCCCAGCCAGCTCCCTGTGGCCGCTCTGGGCGTGTCAGACAAAGGACAGCGCCGCCGGGGGTCCAGCTTCTCGGCTTTCGCCCCAGAGCCCTCGGCTGCAGCCTGGGCTTCACCTGCCCCAGCAGAACAGCTGTTCTCATGCTGCAGGAGAGCAGAAAACACCAGCGGGAGGAGCCGGCGAGCGGGCCCGGGCGTCTGCGGGACGCGGGCAGTGCACACGCGTGGGCGCGGCGGCGCTGGGGGGCGGTCGGGACGGCTCCCGGGTGCGATTCCTAGACCACGTGTTCCTGTTTTCTGTTGGTCCTGGAGTGTGGTTTGGAAAAGCGGTGCTGGGAATCGGGCCCCCGTGCCCTGGAGGACCCCCACTTCGGGACGCTCTGGCCCCCGGCCCGGAGGGCCACACAATGGCCACGGGGGGAGAGGCTTCCCGCAGAAACCCCGTCCCGCGTACAGACACCGGGGCCCCCGCAGGCCGGCTTCCTGGGGCCCACAGGCCTGACACGACGCGGCCGGCTTCCGTGGGCGAGCGCCTCAGAGCGGGGCGTCTGGAGGCAGCCTCTGAAGGGGGGACGGGGCGCTCGTGGGCCGTGACGCACAGGGATCTCTGCGTGCCACAGGGGCCCGCGTGTGTGTGTGTCTATGAAAGGGCTTTTATTGCTCGGGAATCTCCTTTTCTCAGTGAAAAATAAAGTCTTCCATGTCACAGAACTTGCGTCGGCGTCGGAGTCCATCGTGTGGCCTTAGAATTTCCTCGGCCAGTAGTGAGGGGAGGTCGGCCTTCATGAGGGCTCTGGGCTGCACTGAGAACGGCCCTCACCCAGGTTCCCGGCGCCAACCAGAGACCCTGGTCTGGACCCCTCCCGGGGAAGGGGGGCCTGGCTTCCTCTCCCAACCGGGGGCCTCAGTAGTGACCTACCTGGATTATTCAAGTGTGACACCTCACCCAGGCAGACATTTGAAACTCAAGTGTCCCCCACCCCCGCCCCTGCTATGCTGAGTTTGGGGACCTGGCCGGCTCCTAAGAAGGGGAGGGTGACAATAGAGAGGACGCTCTGAGCTTTTTGACATGACCTTGGGGGTCAAGAGGTCATTTGGTCCAAGCAATTCACTTTGCAGAGACTGAGGGCAGAAACACAAAACCAAGGGAGAAAAAAGGGAAAGAAGTGACACAAGACTTTTGTTCTTATGAATATAACTCCTACAGATTCAATTTTTATGAAAAATTAATATTCTGGTGGAAAAGTCAACAAGGGATACAAATAAAAATTTTCTAAAACACAAAATATAGATGAGTTAAGAGCATATTTTTCAAAAGTCCAATCTTGATGACGAAGAAGTGAAAAGAAAACGCTAAAAAAAATTCTTTTTTCCGGTCTCTCAGATTGGAGGGGGAGTGGACACTCAGTGCTGGCCGGGCTCAAGGGGCTTGGCCCTTCTGTGCACTTCCATCGAGGTTCTCAGTGACTTGACTTCCCCAGAGCGTCCCCGGGGGACGCGTCCGAAGAGCTTTAAATATACTCAGCCCACTTGACACATTGTTTTTATAGGAATTTATCTTAGGAATTTATCTTAATGAATGAATTAGAGCTAGTCACAAAGATTTACCTCCTAGGATGTTCACTGCAGCATTTTTTATGACGGTGAAAATTTGGAAAAGACATAAATGTCCAACAATAGGGGATTGGTGGAATAAATAGAGCCCTAGGCAGCCACTAAGATTCACATTTTAGAAAAATTAATGACATGAAAAGGCTCGTGCTATGATACATGTTAGGATTTGCTTATAAAATTGAACCCTTTATGAAAGATATTTCTGGGTGCCAGGATTATAGGTAACTTTTATTTTTCATTTTTATCTCTGTGCTTCCATACTCTCCAACATTTCTACAGTGGGACACATTTTCAACCTCTCATTTCAAGACATGGGCCTAGGAGGGAGGTTGGATGGTGGAAGGAAGGGTACAGGGAGGGAAGGGAACAAGGCTTTGTGGGGTGACCTGCTCACTGCGGCTCCCCATCATCAGCCCCTAGCTGCAGGGTCAGGGGCTCAGCGGATGCCGTCCTTTTGGGCGTGCCCCCCCCCCCAGAGCCCCGCAGTGCCGGGTGGGCGCCCGCGGCCCCTGCGGGACGAGACAGCGGTGTGGAAGGCGCAGGTAATAAGTAGACAACCCAGAGGGCACGTCGGAGTTAAGGCACAGACAGGCAGCCCGAGCCTTGGCAGCAGCTGGCATTTCCAATGGACCCCCTCTGACGTCGTTCCTAGGAGGTGGATGAAGACCACAAGGAAAAGACTTAGAGAAGGAAAATTCAGGGACCAAATTCTCCCTGAATCTAAATCACGTTAAAAACAAGAGGAAATAAATACATCTGCCCTATTAGAAGTATGTTCTTCAAAGGAAACCCGACAGGCTTAGTTCAGCTGGGATAAAACTCACGCATTTGGCCACATTAACAAGGTGCTCTGTGCCAGGCGGCCTCCCAGTCTTGAAGACCCGGCTGTGAGCAAAACAGGCCGATTCTTGCCCTCAGGGAGCTCTGAAGACGGTTCCAGATAGAAATGCCAGGTTGGACAATGCAGTGAGGAGGAAGGGTGGACTTTGGAGAATGTTGTGGGAGGGAGAGGACCCCTTGGGGAGATGGTGGTGGCATCTCCGGGCTTGGGACGGGCCCGCGGCGGGGCGGGGGGGTGGCCTGGTGCCACTAGGCCGCGGGCTGAGGGAGCAGCCCGGCCCGGTCAGGGAGGGAGCCACCGTTGACCGGGCTTTTGCCTATTTCTAGTGGTGTCCGTTTGAAGCCATCTAACGGCTCAGTTCCTAAGAAAGTTCCAGCAGAGGCCCTTGATTGCCCTCTGGAAGGCTAATTAGTCCCAGAAACCGAGCGTCTGTGGGGCCTGCGGGACAGGGGAGCCATCAGCCGGCACAAATGGCCGAGACGGCATGGGGCTGCCTTCTAATGGCTTTTTGAAGGTTGCTCTGCGTTTGACTGACAAATGCCATATGTCCCCAGTGCTCAGGGCTTTGGCCTCTCCTCTGAGCGCGCTCTCTCCTGCCTCTAAAACAGGTTCCTCTTTGCTTTGATTTCATGGACATGCTGTATCAGTCCCTGCTCTGTAAAGGAAGGAAACGCACCTCGGCCCACGCAAGGGCAGAATCGGCGCTGCCTCCTTCCTCCCGCCGCCCTGAGCACTGCAGCCCGGCTCCTGTGTCCGGGCTCCCCACTGGGCGGTGGGGGGGTGGGGAGGTCCAGCAGCTGAAGGCCCTTGGGGCGCCCAGGTCCTCCTGCTGGAATTGCACCCCCCACCCCGGCTCCTCAGCAGCGTGCACCCGCCTCCATCCTCATCCTTGAGGCCTGACCTTCTCTTCTCCAGGCCATTCCGGAAACCTCTCATGGCTTTTACCAGGCTTCTCTTGGAGAGGCACACTGAAAATCAGAGATCTCGCGTCCTCACTTAGCTCTGCTGGCTGGAAAGTCCGGGCTGCGAGGACAGGCTTGCTCCCCAAAGGTGACGGGGCAGGGGCAGGAAAATGAGAAGCTGGCAACACTGTCAGGGAATGCAGTGACAGGTCCGTCATGGGCTCTAATGACTGCCTGCATGTTTGTGTCGCTTTGTCAAAAACAACATCCTCGGGGCGCCTGGGTGGTTCAGTTGGTTAAGCGACTGCCTTCGGCTCAGGTCATGATCCTGGAGTCCCGGGATCGAGTCCCGCATCGGGCTCCCTACTCAGCGGGGGGTCTGCTTCCCCCCTCTGCCCTCTTCCCTCTCGTGCTCTCTGTCTCTCATTCTCTCTCTCAAATAAATAAATAAAATCTTTTAAAAAAACAAAACAAACAAAAACAACATCCTCATCCTTGCACGACACTCCAACACCTGTCTGTCCCTGCACGCCCTGCAGATGATGTCCTTGCTCACTGCCAGAACTCTCTCGTCCTGTAGGACCCCCCACCACTGCCCTTCCCCAGACAACTTGCTTTCTCTCCCTTATTAGGGGACCCCATCATTTTATGTCATCCACACAGTCTGCACCTACCTGGAGTCCTGAACGCCCTCCAGGAGCACCCCCTGCACCCCCATTACCACCCTCTCTGCCCCCAACGAAGCATCAGCGCCCCCAGAAGCCGTACTACTCCTTACCACCCGCCATCCGCCGAGCCACGGGAGCCACGTGGACAGTGAGCCACAGAGGACAGTGTCCTCTCCGCCACGCCGCAGTTGCTTCTACTGGTCAGTGTCCTCACCGGCCAAGGCCTCAGTGAGCTTCTGGGAGGAAGGTCTGGATGGGGACAGTCCCAGCTGCCACCCTCCCTGGGTCCCTGCCCACTTCACGGGCCTGTTTTCTCTTTCTGTTGATTCTGTGAGCCACTTGGTATCCTTCTGATAAACGCCGTTTCTGCGAGACTGAGCCCACGTTGGGTTCTGTTGGGGCAACAAGGGCCCTGGCTGGAACTGCCACTCCTCCCAGGGCTGCAGGAAGCTTCGAGGGCACGGGCGGGGCACTCACCGCTCTCAGGGGATTGTTGACACTCCGGGTTTGTTGGGGTGACTGAAGACTCACAAGTGGTGCAAAGCCGATGGGATCCTATTTGTCTGGCACCATGTTGCACATGTCACCCCCCATGTGGCAGTGAGTAGTCCACACAGGGGCCTGCCTGGGTCTGATCAGGAGCTGCTCATGACCTTGGGGTCACGTCAGACCGTCCTCACTGCACCCCTGTTGGCCCTCCGTGGGCTTCTCCCCATGGGGGTCCTCCGCAGTGTCCGGTCTGTACTTCCGCCTACTCTGAGCAGGGCCTGGAAGGAGGGTCCTTTGTTCTGGGGGGGAGGCAGAGAAACTGCACCTCACAGAGGGCCCCACGATGCCACGGAGGAAAGAAGAAATACTGCCTTTTTTTCCCTCTGTAATAGTAAATAATAAATGAGCAATAAGCTAATGAGAAAACATACTTACAACTATGAACTGGTGTTTTCTCAATCACTTAACTACCTTCCTTTTGGCAACAATGTCCTCGGAGGACCTTCGTGTTCCCCCCCGAGGTGGACCTGTGCCTCCTGGCGGCCCAGCACACACTCGTCCAGGCCCCCCGCGCTCGCGTCTGGAGACGGGGTGCTGGCGGGCAGCTGTGCGGCCGTGGGCACACTGGGGACGGCGGCGGCCTGCCTCTCCTTCTGGACTGGGCAAGGAAAGAAGGGGCCGGGCGCCCTGGCGGCCTCACCCCGAGCCAGCGAGAGGGCCGGGCCCCGTGAAGACCCTCCACTCGGTTCTGTGGGCGGAAATGCCGGGACCAGGCCGGGAAAACGGTCCAGGTAAGCAACCGTGAGAAGGAAGCCACAGGCTGGAGAATAAATCGTATGCGGTGTAAGAGATGCTGCAACGGCCCCCGAGTGAGTTGCAAACCCACAGCCTGAAGCCCCGTGGGAGCGCAGAAGCCCAGCAACTAGGGTAAGATGAATGGAACACAGAGCAAGTGCCTTCGACGAGCTGGAAACGTAGCTTCATTTCCTGAGCCGTGAGGCCGACGGGGTGGGCGAGGCGCATGAGGGACCCCGCCTGAGGGCCGCCGACAGGGTCGTGGGTGCCCCACTCTGGAAGCAGGGCTGGGAACGAGGGGGGAGGTTTCCCTGTGGGAAGGACTACATTTTTACGGCCATTTAAAGGTGCCAGTAGATCTTCTTGCCGAGGAGGAGGCACCAGTGCCCGGCTGCGGGGAGGGGTGGGGGGACAGCATGGGGGGCCCCTTCCTGTTGGGCAGAAATAGCAAGTAGGTGCCCTTGGTTTGGGGGCGGGGTGACCCGCCATCCCGGGTCGCCTGGAACATGGGATTGGCAGTTCTCATCAAGGAGTCCGGGCAAGCCGGGACTCGCCGGCCGCCCTCTCCGGAGGGAAAGTGTCCCCGGCCCCCGAGTGTGACATAGCGGCTCCCCTCCCTGTGTCCTGGCACCCTGAGCTTGGGGGCTGCCGGCAAGTGGGCCAGGCCCCCCCCCACCGAGAAGAGACCAGCTCCCGGACGGCCTGTGAGGCTTCCCATCCCCAAAACACCTGACGGCCTGAGGTCGGCTGTGAGGAATGACCTCTGGGAGGCCACCGGGGAGGGAGGGTGGGCTGGGGGGGGGCGCCAGGGGCTGCGGACAACATTGCACCTCTGAAATGTTACCATCTCGTTTTTAGAAGTAACACCCATTATTTCTCGGCTCCGCAGAAGCAGTGAACAGCGTGCTGGACGGCACCGGGAGCCGAACGACGACCTCAAGAAATTGCCAGAGCTCTCAGAAGGAGGCGAGAGACCGTGTGGGTGACGAGGGAGGTGACAGAACGAAAAGGGCAAGAAGGCAGAGTAGCTGGGGGGCGGCCTGCGCGACAGGGGCTCCGGGAGGAAGCAACGGAGCGGGGAAGGAACAAGAAAAACGATCCAATACAAAAGTGACAGAAGACCTTTTCCATGACAACACTGCGAGGAAACGAGGGGTCAATGGGAAAGGGAAGAACGGCGGGGGGGGGTAAAAACAAAACCACTTTCAAGCTACAAGACAGCCCCCCAAATCATCCGTGGGGAGAAGGTCTTCAAGGAACGACGATCATGACAAGACGACCGTCGGAGCGGAAGACACGTTCTGGAGAGAAAACCGAGCGCTTGAGTGTGTTTTACAAAATTAAACAAATGAAAATAAATATTTCAACGAAGAAGTAGGAAAATAAAGAACACAATGAACTGGAGGGAGCAAGTGGAAGGAAGCGCTCAGAAATTCATGGCTGAGCAGAGAGCAGGATAAAGGACCCTGGCGGCTGTCCGTCCGTCCATCCATCTGTCTGTCCGAGGGCCCAAGCTCTGGCCAATGCCCAGCAGATGGATGGACGAGGAGCTGTAGGCCAGGAGGGATGGTGGGGGCACTCAGGAATGGGCCCGGCAGGCCGCCCAGAGCAGCCGGGAGATGTGAGGGGGCCCTGGGTCAGTGGGGACCCACGCCAGGCCCGTGTGCGCACCAGGGAGGAACTTCGGACAAGGAAGTCCGCGTCGTCCATCTTCGTAGGAGCTCTCGGGAAGACGAGCCCCGGATGGCTGGCCATGGGCCCCAGCACCCTGCCTTGGCCTGTCAACAGGCCATTCCCGAGCCCCCGGCTGTCGCATGCAGAGTGAAAGAAGGCCCGGCAGACCCGGGTGCTCACCTCGGGCCGTTCCGATAGCCCGGAAAGGCTGGTCTTGAGGCACCGGCAGCCAGAAGAGACTTCCAGAGAAATATGGAGCCACCAGAAAGGAAGTTGGCAGAGCAAAGGGGGTTGCGGGGTGGCCCTCTTCTTGCCTCCCTGGGGATGCCGGCCTTAGGAGCCCATCAAACGATGAACTGGCCACCTGCTGCAGCTCAAGAGGCCATCGATGGCTCCAGAGCCCGGCCCGAGCACAGGGCGCGGCAGGACACAGACACTGGGGATCCGTCTGGGGCCCGGCCCACCTAAGGCCGTGTGCTGGAGCCTGTGGCTCAAGGTCGGGTTTCCAGCTGCGGCCTGGATACCCTCACCGAGCGGAGGAGGGGGTCCACGCCCCCATCCTGCTCCCGATGGCCAGGGCGCCTTGAGGCCCTCACGCAGTCGCGCTCTCCCAGCAGCTCCCCGTGCTCGAAGATTCGAGGCAGCCAGTGTCCCCGCCCAGGATGCAGATGCAGACGTGCCACCCGAGAACTCCCACGGTGAGAACTCGGAATACTGGCGAATGGCGTTTCCCCGAGGCAGTGATTTTTGCAGCAAAGCAGGATGACTTCTGCCTGCGCGCGAAGAGGCAGGATGCCAGCCGGCTAGTGAGCTGTGCGCCCTGGGGATCCGCGAGCTGAGGCCCGCCCCAGCGTTTCCTCGGAGGGGCCAGCATCTTGGGGGAGTATCCTGGGCACACCTGGGGGGGCTTTCCCGGCAGGTCTGCAGGTGGTGGAGGCCAGCCCGCCCCCCACAGTGGCACTGCCCCCTCAGCGCCCTTGACCTTCTCGCCCAGTCTGCCCCGAGAGGCCGCTGCAACCGTGGGGCCAGCAGCTTCTGTCCTGCCTGCCCCTCCTGGGGTCCCTCCGCCCCGGGTCCTGCTCTCCCCTTCCACACTCTCGTTCTGAGCGCCGCAGAGCCCTCGGGACTTCTCGTCTCAGGGACCCCGTGAACCGCCTCCTCGCAGACAGCCCGATCCTCACTCTAGCGCATGCTGGCCCTGGATTCCGGAGCCCCGGGCCCCACTGCCACTAACCAGCCGCCCTTGCATGTCCCACACGCTCCACAAACTCAAAAAGCCTCTGAACTCGTCTTCCTCAGCAGCTGAAACAAACTACCTCAAACTCAGTGGCTTAAAACAACACAAACACACCATCTGACAGGCCTGGTGGCTGTTAGGCTGAGGAAGCTCTTCCTTCCGGGGCTAGAATCTGGGTGGCACAGAGCTGCGCTCCCTTCTGAGGGCTCTGGGGAGTGCCCTGGCCTTTTCCAGCTTCTGGAGGCTGCCCACACCCCAGGGCCCACGGCCCCTTCCTCCATCTTCAAGGCCAGCGTCCTCGCACCTCCTGACCCTCTGCGTCACACCTTCAAATCCCCTTCTGCCTCCCTCTTTGCTTTTAAAGACCTTTGCGCTTACCTTGGGCCCACCCGGGCGATCCAGGATTATCTCCTTACCCCGGGGTCAGCTGGTGACAACTTTGATTCTCCTGTGCCTGCAGCCCACCACATCTTTGGAGACCACTGGTCTGCGACCAGATCGCGTACCGGAGGCTTCCAGCTGGTCCCCCTCCTCGAAGGCTGGCGACCCCACTCGGAGTGACCCACGCCGGGAACTGCCTTTCCCTTCCATCTCCTTGGTCCACCCAACCACCGGGCCTCACGTCCCCAACATCCCGGGATCTGTCCCATGTTTTAAAGGCTGCTCACCCTTCTTAGCCCACAGGCACGGCTCTCACTTGGCTCTCAGCACCCCTTGCCTGAATCCTTTGAACCCCAAATGATTTCCCACTGCTAGTTTCGCTCCTCAGGTTCCCATCTAGTTCCAACTGAGGATCTCACTACTGTTCAAGTCTTTCAGTAACCCACCGAGGCCAGCTTTCCTCGGCGGGGGCAGGACTCCTGTGGTCTTGTCCTCGCTTAACTCCCCAGTCTCCTCTTGGCACCCCCACCCCAATGCCTCCCTCAGACCACTTTAAAACCTGCAATTGAACAATTCTGGGTTTCTTTTAGGTCCCAGAATGCCCAGAGATCTTTCATAACTCTCTGCCATATGAGCACTACGCCTGGGGAAGAATGACCTCTCTTTTCTAAGCCCCATTCCAACTCATGCAGTCTCCTACAGGAAGGCTTCCCAGGTTACCCCCGCCAACTTGGGCTGGGTTCCTCTCCTGTATCCGCGGCAACATGCAGCAGACTGAATGGTCCTTACCTGCCGAGGCCCGTGGCCCCAATTAGGCACGTGACGATGGGATGCTCAGGATGTTTTTGGGATGAGACTGCCATTGTTTATTAAATGCCCGTTGTATGGCAGACTGTGGTTTGCCTACCGTTACGCTGATAGGAACGACACAGACGAGGCATGGAGGAGAGCGAACTGGGAGGTGGGGTCCCGAGACTGGTCATGGGAGAACCCCAGGAACCTCCTCCCCTGAGAGGCTGGCTCTTTCTCCCCCATGACAGGTACAGGGGTGGGTCATGCCCAACTCCGTGCCCTGGCAGGGTCGGAGGGTCAGAAGCTCTCTGTCCTGGAGGTGAAGGGGGCTGGTGAGCGGAAGCAGGGGCTCGTCTGCTGTGAGTCGGGAACGCAGTCCTCTCCCAGGGATGATGATGGGAGTGCTGGGAAATCTCCCAATGGGGCTCCCCCTAAGTGGGGTCTCCCGTGTGCTTTTGAGAAAATAGAAAACAACAGACTTCTCACCGCCACCTCCATAAGAGATGCCAGACAGGAGGCTTTGAAGAGTGTGCTCCAAAAATGTAAGTTCAATACCCCAGACAAGCATGAGACTGTGAAAATAATTTACAGGCACTTAAAGATCTCGCCATTTAATAATGGCCCTTAAAGACAGATTCTGGGTGGATGGGAAGAGATGTCAGTTCATATCAAGATTTGATTGCTCAGTGCTCTGAGCCCCCAAACTAATATCAAATTTAATTTTTGAAAACAAGGCCCACCAAGATGCAATTCCACTAATTAACAAAACCCGATTTTTTTTTTTCCAGATGCATCCCAATCTACTATTACCCACCAAAGCAGACATCAAATATGTGGGGAGAGGGGACCTGCACAGGAAAAGTTGGCTGAGAGAGGCCTTCACTCGAAGCTCCCTCTGGAATCGAAACTCATCTTGATAAATCACTATGGCTTCTCGCCATCAGGAGTCTTTTCCCTTCAGATCTTATGGCCAAGAGAAGGACTGGCCATATGTTCACACCATTTGGTGACAAATACACTGAACCAACAAAACAAGCATTGCACTTATGGGTATTTTTTTTTTTTATCATGCTAAAAGTATATTGATCTTCGACGTGCAGGAGATCTCATGTCATTTCTTCCCCCATGGGAACAAATAGCCTCTCGTCTTAGACAAGCGTTTTTAAAGCCATGATCCAAACACGCGCAACTCATGTCCTCCCCGTATGTCCCTTTTTGCTTTCCATTCCTCAGGTGTCTTCCAAGTCACAATGGGTGAATGAAAAGGGAATAGAGGAAAGAAAAGATTATGAAATTAAAATCCAAAACGTTGTCTGACAGGGGCACCAAAGAAGTCATTTGGTAGGCAGAATATTCTAACAGCCACCAAGCCAGGGAAGCTTCCAAGAGCATCTGAGATAACAGGGCTGAATGTCATGCCAGTCCCTACTGGACAGGCCCCTTCCCTGGATGACTAGGAATTTCAGTTTTGAAAGCTAGCTGGGGTTAGGTTCATTCCAATTTCTCATCAAGTGTCATCTATGAAAGCCCATGGGCCCAACAGTACTTTTTGGAGAAATTTAAATTCCAGGACAAGTTTGGTAGTTTATTTGAAGGTCCGGAAGGGCAGAAAATCTGACATCTCCTGGGCATCTTAGTCTTTGATTGAGTATCTTGTGTCCAGCAGGGATGTAATCATGAGTTGCCTGTAGGAATTCACTGGGCGTGAGGATGAGGAGGGAGGCCCAGGAAAGCCTCAGAGGTCAGAGACCTGTAACATGGGCTGCTTACACCCGGGAGAGGGTCAAAGTTACATCTGCATCTCAACACAAAACCTACAGATAATACTATGGATTATGAAGACCGCAGTAAGGAGAGACTCTTGAAAGAATTTGTCATACAAGGACAGAGCACCGCCCAGACTTTGCAGATTTTGTTTTAAATTTGGACTACGTTCCTTTCAACAGAGGTACAAATGTAGAGTGAGCATCTGACATCATGTCTTGATGATGAGGTTTTACAAGAGACCCCCCTCCCCCAAACTGTGGCCAATGCACACCATGGCTTCTTTTTTAAAAGTCCTTGGATCCTCTGGATTTTGCGTAGAGCTGAAAACATTTCTTAGGCAAACACATTCTTGGAAAGGGGAGGTCTCAGTTTGGTTCCAACTACTTTGCGTGTCAGCCTATGCTGCTGATTCTGGAGAATGGATGTTATAAAGTTTTATACCGAGGCTTCTGTGAAGACAACTAATAGCCAGGACATTCTTTCAAGCGCAAAAAACATCCAAATGTGAAATAATCACCACTTACTAGGAAGCAGTGTTATAAATGCCGCCGGTTTTTGCCATAAGAAACTGCTTTTGTTTGGACAAGGATATCTTCAAGGGGCTGAATCCAAGTTTAGGTTCCTTAAGTCTTTGGAAAAATCTACAGTGCGTAGACCATACAGATCCTGGGCTATCTAAATACCAAATTTATGCAGAAGATCAAAGCTCAAGGTTCATTTATTTACCTGACCTTAAGCCCGCATGGAAAGGAAGAGCGTCCTGAATTCCTTTTTTGGTAGCCCACAGAAACGTGGCCCATCTCCAGCTCAGTGTGAAGATAGAGTTCCTTTTCTTCAGGAAAGCTCTCTGCTCTCTGCACCAGATGAAAACGAACAGCAAAGTAAAACATTGCGGTCAGCCATCTGCTCCATCTGACCCCCGGAAGATGTTCCTAGCCACTGTTTTGTTCGGGGGCAGGAAAGGACAAAGCCTGGTGCACGACTGTCTTCCAAATATGCCTCCCCCTGGGCCTGTGATGTTACAGGTGAGGTCTCCCACTATCTCTGGATGTCCAAGTCCCCAAACTGACCTGTGTTAGCGAAATTAAGCGCAATCACCTTGCCCGCTAGACACAGGCAGTCAATTGACTAAGCTTTTATGGTTTTTACTAGAAAACTGAAACCAAAAAAGTCACACAAACTGTGTGGCTGCTTCTGAAAACAGGAAGATAGTCTCTTAGGCGAGATTTTAAACATCTGTTAAACATGCTTGAGGGCACCACCAAAGGAAGTGTGTGTCTGTGTGTCCAGGGTAATACACAGTGATCACGCAGGTTACCAGGTCTTTATAGAATCATCTCCTTTAGGAGAGCCGGGGCGGCTCAGTCGTTAAGCATCTGCCTTCAGCTCAGGTCATGGTCCCAGGGTCCTGGGATCGAGCCCCGCATCGGGCTCCCTGCTCCATGGGAAGCCTGCTTCTCCCTCTCCCTCTCCCCCTGCT